TGCTTGTAGAATTTTGTTCTTCTGTTGGATTTCTGGAATCCTAACTATTATATGCCTACGTGTAGATTTCTTTTGAGTCCAGGTGGTTGAGTATCAGATTGTTCCATCTCCTTTCCCTTTGGGGTTGCTGTAGATGATCCAGAAGTGTGCTTTTGAGGCTTGTTTACATGTCTTCTCATTTCCGTGGGGGGTGGTTCTGGCGCCTGCATGGCTCACCTTCTCTGCTCTAGGAGCTTGGGATGGTGGTTGGGGAGCTTCCTTCCGGGTTCTGGGACTGGCTCAGCTTCTCTGCTCTAGGATCTTGGGATGGCGGCGGGTAGTTTCCTTCTGGGTTCTGGGACTGGCTCACCTTCTCTGCCCTAGGAGCTTGGGATGGCAGTGGGGGAGCTTCCTTCTGGGTTCTGGGACTGGCTCACCTTCTCTGCCCTAGGAGCTTGGGATGGCAGCGGGGGAGCTTCCTTCCAGGTTCTGGGACTGGCTCAGCTTCTCTGCTCTTGGAGCATGGGATGGTGGTGGGGGAGCTTCCTGCTGGGTTCTCTGAACTAACTTTTTGAAGAGGTGACCTCTTCTGATACCTGGCGTCCTGAAGGGAATATGAATAAGAAATTCAGCTCTTCCTACAAGTGAAATATCACACAGGACCCATGAATGGCTCCACCTTGTCCTGATGAGGCCCTAGTAATTGTGCTGAGTTTGTGGGGTAGGTCAGGGGTTAGAAGAGCTGTAATTCATACAAAGCCCAGTAGGTGGTTTTTTTCCCTCAGAAACTGGGGTGCAAATTATGGTCATCATGAGTGGTCTAGAAACTTCTAAAAGAATGAAAGAGGTTGCCAAACCTTCTACAGTAAAGAAATTTATTTTCTATGACACCTGGATTGTTGCTCAATGACACTAAATTTGAGCTTTTGATGTCCAGCTCCATGAAATGATAATTTTGTCATTTTAAGCAAATAAGTGTTCAGTAATTTGTCACAGAAGCACACATGGTAAGGTTAGTATAATGTGATTTCACTATGAGCAAAAAGTCCTAGGGGTTTAAAGCAATGTTTCACTTCTTATTAAGCTACATATTATTGTGTATTGAGAGTTCTGTGTACCATTGTCTTTCAGGTTGACAGAACAAAGCCCATCCTGAACATCTCTGTGTAACAGGGAAGCTGACCCATAGATTCCTATAGTTGAATGCATGTCCCACTGATGATACCTCCACCTCTGCTCAGAGCTCAGTGATCTAAATGAGTCTTCTGACTCCACCCTATGCCATATCCCGTGCACTATGTGGCCAGAATGTGAAGCTTAACAAATATTTGATGAAGCATATGACTTGGCATGAGACTTTCAGAGGTCACCTGCACTCAAATCTATACTCTACCATGTTATTCAATCTCTCTGTGCCTCAGTTTCCTCATTGGTATTAGAGTATTGAAGTGCAGTTGGTGTGAGGATCAAAGGTGATAACAAATGCAATGTACTGAGCTGCAGTATACACTCATGGTGTGAAATTCTATGTTAATAACCTTGAGAAAGCACACAGGACCTGTGAGGATGAATAGTAACTTCTCTGTGTCTCCCTCCAGGAGCAGCCACAGAGAAGAATCTGCAGGTGATTCAGCCTGAGAAGCCAGTGTTGGTTGCTGCCAGAGAGACAGCCACTCTGCACTGCACTGTGACCTCTCTGCTCCCTGTGGGTCCCATCAAATGGTTCAGGGGGCAAGGACAATGCCGTGAGCTAATCTACAATTACCAGAGAGGCCATTTTTCCAGAATCACAAATCTTTCAGACACCACAAAGAGAGACACCATGGACTTTTCCATCCGCATCAGTAACATCACTCCAGCAGACGCTGGCACCTACTACTGTGTGAAGTTCGAGAAAACCAGCTCTGGGGACACAGAGTTTCAGTCTGGAGGAGGCACTGAGTTGTCTGTGTGTAGTGAGTACAGTGTGAGCCTCTCTCAACACTAATGTGTGACAATAGATCAAGAATAATCCCATCCAGGGCCAGGGATTTAGCTCAGTGGTTCTGCCACCTGCCCCGAAAGCACAAGGTCCTAAGTTCAATCCCCAGTACAAAAAAAAAAAAAGAATAATCCCACCCATTCTTTGAGCAATAGCTAAAAAATCAGAAGGGACAGTGGATGCTCATGTTCATGATCCACTGTCACCTCTTCCACAGGTCAAGGATGCTGAGGCCAACAAAGGCCATGATATTTGTTCAAGGCTTCATAGCTCATAAATGGGGATTACCCTCCAACCTGTCTGTTCTACAGTCCTTGTCTTTTCCACTCTGCCCCAGCCCTTTATCTCCACAGATGAGGGCTCTGATATTTTGAGTGTCCTGCCCAGTCACAGGGCCAGATCTTGCCTACTCCTCCCAGAGAGTGCTTCTCTTTGGTGGACATCTTCTCTTTATGCAACAGCACTAAGAACCTGCTATGTGCCAGTCTGCTCTCTGGATGCCATGGAAAAAGCAGGGAACTCCCCAGGCTGAAGCTCTTCTCCCACCAAGTTTGTGCTCACATATTTTCCACCAGGACCAGGCTATCCATGGCAGGGAGGGGCCAGGGCATGGTTTTCATAGTTCCTCCTCAGAAATAGCAGTAAGAGGCTTTCTTTCAGACTAAGGCTCCCTGTGGAATCTGATACCCTGGTTGAAGGAGCTCCCAAGAGATCGAGCCTTTGCCCAAAGTGACTGTAAAATTACTTGTGTATCAGGGACCAGATCTACAGGTACTGAAAGCTCTGAACAGAGCTGGGTTAGTCAGCCAGGAACTGCCCCCATGTGAGTGGTATAGATGCTCCACAGCTGATGCAGCAAAATTGTTCAGTGTCATGGTTTATATCTATATGTTCCCTGAGACACTCATACACTCAGAAGTAGGGCTTTTGAAAGATGATTAAATTGTGGGGATAGTATAGCTGATTTGCTGTTAAGAGCTGGGGTCTGGTCAGGAGAGGTGGGTGACTTGGGGGTATGACCTGGAAAGGCATATCTCCCTCCCCAGATCCCTCCTTCACTCTTTACTTTCTGGCTACCATGATGTGAGCAATTTTTCCTCCACCATGCCCCTCTCCCATGCTGTTTCTTCTTTGGAACTGGCAAACCATAGACTGAAACAGGAGCCAAAATACATCTTTCCTCTTCTAAATTGTGTTTCAGGTATTGTGAACCAGCAACAGGAAAGTAAGTAAAACAGATTTTGGTACAAGAGAAATCAGGTTGTTATTGTGACCGTTACCTGACCATGTGGCTCAGAAGACTTTGGAACTAGTTTGTGGAGGAATTTGGAAAGATTTGGTGGTGTCAGCTAGAGAAACACTAGAATACTGTGAACCAAGATTGATGGGAGATTCTGGTTGAAACTCCAAAAATCAGAACATGACAGAAGTGCAGACTGTAAAAACCAAGCCCAGGAGGTTTCAGTTGGGAATAAGGAATCCATTAGCAGTTGGACTCAAGACTGTGTGTTTTGCTTTGGCAAAAAACCCCTCTACATTTGGCTCCTGTCCTGACATTTTTCAGGAGACTAAGATTAAGGGCAGTGTACTAATTAATCTGATAGAGGAAATTTCAAGGCAACTCAGTGTTCAGGCCATAGCATAAGTACTGCTGCTTTTTTTGAGATTTTCACAGAGAAAGAGTTTTGAGCAAAAGGCCCATTTGAAAAGTTTTGAATTTTACCAGAGTTGGCTCCTGTAAAATTGGGGCCTGTGAAGTTTGGGCTAATGAGAGCTTGATTGCTGAAAAGATGTTTATTAAAAAGAAGCCAAGTACTTTGCATCAGAATAATAGGAAAGATGCCTTGGTGGCATCACAAGAATCAGCAAGATCCCTCCCTTCACAGGTACAAGGGTGTAAAACTGTCAAGCTTTCATTTGAGAAGAGAGTTCCAGGGCATCCTGCTCCAGAAGGGCCACCTGGGACATTGATTCTCTGGAATTTGGTTCACAGTGCTCAGGTACTCAGAGGCCTCTGAAGCCATGATTCAAAGGGGCCTGGCTACTACTCAAGCTGGTAGCAGACGTTGGTGTCATCCATGTGGTGCTGCTTTTACAGGTATGCAGAATGCAAGAGTTGTGGGATCAAGGAGGCTTTCACCCAGATTTCAGAAGAAGGCCTGGGAAGCCAAATTGTGTTCCCCTGAGATGGCAGTGAATATAACTGTGAGAGTGAAGCCAAAAGTGCAATGGAGACCCCAGGAAGTTGGAAAAATCAAAAAATATGCAACATCTTAGGAAAATTGCAATCAGTGAGTAAAACTACCCCAAGATAGAAGCTTGCTACAGCAACCAATGCTGTAGGTGCAGGGCCACATAAGCACCTTCCAAAGGGCTGGACACAGAGCTACAGGAGTTAATAGTTGCCATTCTGGTTTTCAGTCTTGCTTTGGTCCCATTGGTTTCTATCACTTATTTCTTCCTTTTGGAATGAGAATGTTTGCCCTGTGCCATTGTACATTAGCATCCTTTAACTTTTCTTTTTGATTTTTACAATACTTCACAGCTAGAAAGAGTTTGCTTTGAGTCCCAGAGGAGATTTTTGACTTGGACTTTTCAACAATGCTGGAATTATTAAGACTTTAACAACACTTAGAGATGGACTAAATATATTTTGCACAAAATGATGTGCACATGGGGCAGGGGTAGAACATTATTGTTTAGATCAGAATGTCCATCCAAGAGCCTCATGCATTCAAAGACAGGGCTTCTAGAAGGTGACTGAACTATGGGGGTTCTATAGCTGACTTGCCCTTAGGAAGTGGGCTTGGTTAGAGGTGCATCACTGGAGTTGTGACCTGGAAGGACATACCTCCCTCCTTGGCTCCTCCCTTCTCTTGCTGCTTTCTGACCGCCATAATATGAGTAGCTTTCCTCAATCCAGGTTCTTCTGCAATACCTTTCTGTGTGTAAGTCTGCCAAACATGACTCAAACATATGAACTGTAAGCCAAAATAAACCTCTCCTCTTTTAAGTTTCAGTTGTCAGGTAATTCATCTCAGCAATGAGGAAAGTAGCTAGGACACTGTGAGTTTACCACTTGAGGCCCAAGATTTTCTTTTAAAATGTTGAGTCTGGCATTCTTGGCACATGAAGAAACTATAAGCCCCCCAGTTCAATGCCACTTACTGATGAGAGCCCAAGACTCAGACAAGCCTAGGGATGTGCTGACATTCACATGGCTAGTTAGTGCCAAGATAGGGATAAGAACCCAGATCTGAGTCCATGCCAGTCTCCTTTCTACCACAGCATTAGACACTGTCTTCATAGAAGAGTCAAATACACAGTTGGTACTTGTGCTCAGTTCCTTAAACCAAATCACTGAGCAGGGAGCCAGCACGTATGCACTTCATCATTTTCCCCCAGGTTCAGGATACCTCTCACATTCAGACCTAAAGCCCATTTGTGATAGAACAATATCTCCCAAATGTCAACAACATCTGTGTTCCATATCTCCATTGTTTAAATATGTTTAAATAAGGCTAAGCTTGTTTAAGCACAGCCTTAGTAAGACCTTGGGTTGGGAGTGTCGGGGTGACTACTGCCATCAGGAACACAGTGGTCAGGACAGTAGAGTCCAGAGTCCCATTCTCTATAGCCACCTCCCAGCTTGGTCCCTTCCTGGCTTGTCCTGCACACAGTGGTCCTTGGCATCTTCACTTGTCCATGATACATACGACATGGCATAGTCTGAAAAAATGAAATCAGATGAAGCATTTAGAACAGCCCAGGCTTGTAGAAAATGCCCCATATATGTTAGCTGCATCAAGCTGAGGCCAGGTGATCTAAGACAGTTGCTTTTCCTGTCCAGACCTAAAGTGGCAATGGGGTTTGGGGGGGGGGTCAGTGGTTCTCAACATGGCTGCTCATTGGAATCTCTTGAAAAATTGTGAAAAATTCCCAAACCCTAGCTCTAAACTAGAAATTCTGCTTTAATTTGTCTGGTTATCTGAATTTTCTAATTACCCCAGATGATTGCAATATACATCCAGGGCTGACAAGCCCTGATATAGTGGTCTTGATGTCAATGAGGAAAGGTTGGGGTCCATAAGGTGGTGTTTTATGGACCTAGGATATGAGAACTCCTTTTAAGGGTGTGAGTGCTTCAGAATAGCTGTGTCAGACATAGCTACCTGGACCCAAGTGGTGGGGCAAGGATACCTGTGCTGGAGCAGGTCCCAGGACTTCAGAGGGGCAACCCAGACAGAGGCCTGCTCAGACCCCAAGTACACTGTGATAGCTGCCATCTTACACATGTCTACAACTGAAAAAGTGCAGGAGCTCAGCAAATTCTCACTCTTCAGCACAGAACCCTCCCTTCCTCAACAATCCAAAATGTCACTGCAGAATCTGTCCTTCCTCCTTCCCAAAGCTTCGAGCTCTGTGGAAATAGCTCCTCTGAAGGAAGTGCCTCAAATCCTGTGTTTTGAAGGCCTCTTAGTCAACCCTTTCCTCAGGAGATTGTTATGAAAACAGGGAGAATAAGAATTTGCTGACTTCTACTCATTTTTCTTTTGGGTTTTCCTGGCAGCTACAGGGACAGGATTGAGACTTTCCTGGTGTAATTTCAGAACTAGCAATGGCCAGGTGTCATGAAAACACTCAAAGATGTTATTTACTAATCACCTACTATATACCAGGCACTGTGTTCTGCATCTCTCCTCATGCATCTTCCCAGGTTGGATTTTTATCCACTTGTTAAATAAGGAGACACTGAGGCTCAGAACATATAGAACAAATACTAAGGTAAGCAGTCTGTTCAAAAAAACATGAGTTCCATCCTTTACCCCATGCCCCCATCCTGCTGCCTTTGGCCAGCCCTGCAGCTATCTGAGTCTTTTCCCATTCAGGGTCTCATACTTGGATTCCATCACTAATGGGAAAATTAAAGATCTGAAGGGATCCAGGGTATCAGGCTAGTGTTAGGATGCCCAG